AACACATCCAATTGGTTATTCACACCTCTGATCATGAAGATATATGCTGCTGTTAAGATCATGTAAAGTAATTGAGAAATATCTTTTTGATGCAAATACCTGGCCCTTTCTGGAAATGACACAGCGAGAATCCCCAGCATTGGCCACCACAAGTTGGTTATTTCGTATGATTGCAACACAAGCTGTGCTTCCAGCATTTGGTCCATGAAAGTCAGAGTGAGGTCCCTAGTTAGCAACATCACCTCCTCACTTTAATTGAATCCATGCCCAAACATAAATGTACAATTGTTTCATAACAAAACTTAACCCAAAACTAACACAGGTTACTACAAACCAATGCAAAGAAATACAGTTAGTGAACTGCAAATGGCATCGAACTGGACACAGAAGAAAGAGGGGAACTACCTCTTCTCCAAACGCATGTCCACCTCAAAACAGAAAAGGAAAGTAAATCCACCATAGCAACTGGGAATTGTGCATAAAAATACCTCCTCCGGAGGCCAATCATCCACTTGATTGTTAGCTTCACCACTCTTGGGCGACCATATAAATCCTTCTATCATACCAGAAATCTTGTCCATTTTGTCTCCTAAAATAGCTAATTCTCTCCATCCTCTTTGTCCACACATCATCTCATCCATTCTGCACCAATTCAGAGTGACAAAATAAGAAGGTTGACCTTGCAGTCTTGACACAAACAGCATTTCAACCATCAAAGGTGGAAGAGATGAAGCAAGGACCACATCATATCATGATTTAGAGACTACACCCCCTTTTTTTAGTTAATTAATCTTTGCAAACAAATGATAAAAAATACCTAGTGCATCAAATGAAATTCACAACTATACAACTTTAGACAGTTCATCAGTAGAAAACCCAAATAATCATGAAGCACTATTTATTTCATCACCATCGACAAAATAAGAAACTTCCCAACTGCTTAATCCAGGACAATGAGATAACCACTAAGGATAACATGTAGACTAAAATAAAGCCAGTGGATTAATAACCTAAGAAAGGCCTTCTGTACTGAAGTTCCTAAATCCCCAGCCATGTATGATTCATGCTTGAGCACCTGTTGATGGAGATACTTGGCACAGAACTTTGAAACTGCTTTACCTGCATTTCAATAGACTTGATGAGGGAAATTTTTTTAAAAAAAAATCACAGAAATGCAAGTATATTTCAATCGGTAACAAATAATTACTGGTAAAATAGGAAAGAGAGAGAGAGAGAGAGAGAGATGCTGCTCAAAGAACAGATGCTAACCTCCATGGCCATCGTAAACACCAAAGAAAGATGTTGATGTGTCCAAATCTAGACAGGCTGCATGCTGAAACTTAGGTAGGGTGAGACTGGATCCATATGCAACACAACATAATAGATCTCAAAGATTACTCCTTTTAGAACAATGCATATCAATTTCAGAGACTTCAAAAGATAGTTCCACTTAACAACAATCTCAGTTTGAGATGAACCATCCATCTCTACGGGTCACAGGGATACAAGTGAGTTTGAGTAGGTTGTAGGTTTACAAAAAACAAAAAACAAAAATGCAGTCACTGTCCAGCAATGCATAAGACAGAAGCCTTTCAAAAGATTGGACATTATGAAAAGTATAATACTTATAGGCGAGCACCCAATGTCACGCGGCATTAAATATAAAACTAAAGTTACAAATTTTCGTTGTCCTGTAGATATTCTGATGCAAACTCTCAGTTCCGGGACACTAAAAGGTGTGCTTAAACAACACAGGTGACAGCACATATGGTACCACTACCAAAAGATAATCTGAAAAGCAATCTTCAATTTAATATTGGGGGTACCTCCTTAAATAGAAGTATTCAAGATGCATACATTGCAACTTCCTCGAGATAATATAGTCTAAAGTTGGTTTGTCCTATGTATTATTAATTTACATGGGTCACATAAAGCAACAGAGAGCATGATGAATAACTGAGTACAGCAACATGACAACTTTACATCAAAGGGAGCAGAAACAATAGACAGAAAACTCACAGCGTCTTCCATGGTTGCACGCCACCCTTGCATAGAGGATACCCCATACCGAAGACTTTCATTCTCACCATCGTCTGAGGCCTTTTCTGTTTTGGGGGAGCTGAGATATATCCCCATTTTCCAAGCTGGAATTAGATAAAATCCATGAATCACCAAAAGGTCACCCTCACAGAAAAATCATTTGGAAGCAACCTTTACACCATTTCAAGGGGGGAGGGGAAAAAAGTGACGCTGCAACAATTTTGCCCTTCGAGCCCCCTTCATCATGTTAACGTTCCAGTAACTCTCATTCCAAAAGATATGCAGTGTGCATTGGTTGGGATAAAATAATCAGTAAATACATTAATCTTTCGCATGTACGGATGTTGATTCGTGAAATCATCAAAGCTATTCAACTTAATAACGCATAACAAGTATATATTACTATCAGTGAAGTGGTTCTTAAAAGTAACCAGCAAAGATAGTTGTTAATCCACCAAGAAACAAACTACGCACCCGAAATCAACAAAGGAACAGTCACTGTCAAAAGATTAATAATAGCAATATGAAACCCCTCCCTCCCGAGTTAAACACATCGAAATTTTCATTTCTCATAACCACCCTCCCTCCATCTTCCAAACTATCTTCTTAGGTTCCGAGCAAGCACAAGATTCAAATAAAATCAAATACAACAGACATCCATACTCAACTGAAACCCGCAACGCAGGCTTGCTTCGGTAACTCCCATTCGAAATTAATCAAAACCAAACTAACAACAACTGAAGAATTCTTGGCAAGCAAACGGATCATTTAAACCACAATAAATTCCAAATAAACAAAGATCGGCGGAATCGAAAATTAATATCTCCATACACAAATTCAAACTGATATAGCAAACAAAACAAGACAATACAAACACAAACACACGATAAGAAACGAAAGAAAACAAAAATTGAAGGGACAACTCACCCGCCAATCGCTTCGAACACTGGTTTCAGCGGAGGGATAGGAAGAGAGATCTATCTTTTAGTGTGCTTTTTACTTTTTGTTCAAAAATTTTAGATCCTTCGGTTGGTTTTTATTATTTATGGTAATGATGATAAAAATAAATTCAATCAAGAGATGCAAAAAATTTACGATCATTTTCGACTTGAAAGGAAGCAGGTGGGGCACGTGTCCTACACGTGCACTCATTTGAAGTTACATATAATGGGCTGGACGGCCCAGATACCTTCAAAGGTCGGCCCATTTAAGGCCCATAAATAGTCACGTTTACACGTGCGGCCTTCCTGGATCACGGGCTCTTATCGATTCGGAGGAAGTTTTAAATATTACAATATACTCTTTAAAAAATAATAATAAATAAAAAAAATCTACCGCCAATAAATAAATAAATAAATAAATAAATAAATATATATATATATATATATATATATATATATATATATATAATATCTTTTTAATATGTATTGAAAATATATTTACATTAAGCAGGCAGTAAGGAGATGAATAATATAGTCCCGCTCCTTATTCCATTTTCTGTCTAACGGAAAATCTTCTTTCTGTTTAGATGGTCCCCGAACTAAAATGGACATTTATTAAAATATTATTAAAAATATAGGTCCGAGATTAATTGAATTATTTATATTATATTCACATTTATTAGGTTTATTAGGTTCACATTGATGACTCTAACTTATTATTAATTATATTTATTTTCTCGTCATTTGTTTATTTATAAAGATTTTTTTTAATAAATATTTGGATTATTATCCAATTCTACAAGCTACGCCTACTTTTTATTTTTGAAACCATCTCTAAAAATTAGCTGGTAAAATAAATAAACTAATAAAAAAAAATAGCGTTATCAACTTAGTTTTCAAAACTAAATTACCAAATAATTATCTAACCATGATCTAAATTATTTATCTACGAGAATCACGTGTTTGTATATTTATTGATATTTTATTTAATTGAATTATTCTTTTCATACCTCAATTATATATATATAATCGATGGAGTAGAATAATAAAATTTTAATGAATGGTTAGGATATATTATCAAGGAAATTACGAAATCAAAAATTAAAACAATAATATATCACATAAGTAAAGTGGAAATTACGAAATCGAAAATTATAATTTCATACAAGTTGAGCTTTTAAATTTTTTTTTTTTTTTTTGTTAAATGTATTTATACGACTCAATCATCCATATGCAATTATAAAATTAGCTTATTATATTAAAAAAAAAGTGCAAAATTCAATTTAATTTTACATTTAAAAAAAGGTTAAAAAAGTAATTTAATTTAATGTTTTTCTATTATTATATTTGTAAATAGAAAGACTTTAAATTTTATTATGAAATTCTAAAATTGGGTTAGGTAATTAATTTTAAAACGGAAAATGCATGCTCATATATGTCATTAATGTAATAATAATAATAAATATTTACCTTAAAATTAAATAAAATACAACTAATAAGTGAGTTTTTTTTTTTTTTTTTTTTTTTTTCAAGAACAAAGTTAGTATCTTTCTATTTAAAGCCAATATTGTTGAGGTAGACCCGACCCGACCCGACCCGACCCGAGATCCATTATCATCCAATTGTAAACGCAAACGCAATGCACCCACGTCGATCTCCTGTCTGTTCATTGTGGGCCCCGCCCTCTATTACTATAAACTTACTCCACTCATTCAAACCCAACATTCTAAAAAATATTAATTAAAAATTAAAATAATAATAATAATTAAAAAAAAAAGTTTCGTAAACGCACCGTTTTGAAGTGGGTGCGGTGTTAGGTCGCTGTCTTACCAACTCCCGCCTGTATATTTCTCTCCACTGAAAAACCGCTTACGAGAGGAAGGACACGTGTCGGTCGATCAAACGGACATAGTAGCGATTGTGGTAGGTGGATCACCGAGACTCCCGTTTCCCGTTTTCTTATTTATAGGGTTACTTCTTTCGGAACCATCTCAGGGCGATTCATTCTCCCTAGTATACTGTAATTAACACTCTTCCCCTCGCTCCGTCCCTAATTTTTCGTTCCGATTGTTTGGAACTCTCGATTTTTCATCGTCGATTGACCGATCAAGATGATTATCACTGTGAAGGATTCGACGATGGTGACTCCGGCGGAGGAGACGCCGCGCCGGACTCTCTGGAACTCGAACGTCGATCTGGTGATACCGAGTATACACACGCCGAGCGTCTACTTCTACCGCCCGACCGGCGCCTCCAATTTCTTCGACGGTCAGGTTCTCAAGGAAGGCCTAAGCAAAGCGCTGGTGCCGTTTTATCCAATGGCCGGACGATTGAGACGCGATGAAGACGGTCGTATCGAGATCTACTGTAATGCTGAAGGTGTGCTTCTTGTCGAGGCCGAAACCACGGCGGTTATCGACGATTTCGGTGATTTCGCCCCGACGTTACAGCTTCGGCAACTTATTCCAGCCGTCGATTACTCTGGCGGAATCGAATCGTATCCTTTGCTGGTGTTACAGGTACAATGAAATCCGCGCCTCGTCTCTAATTTCTTTCTTTTTTTAACAAATTTCATTTAGGAATTTTATTAATTATTTTGGTTAGAATTAACTGAAATTGTAGTCTGTAGTTGGCTTTCCTAATAATCATTACCATTCCTTTTCTGCTTTTCCCCATTTAACCTTTTCCAAATATATCTATATTTTTCAACAAAAATAAAAATCATAGTTAAATCCATTAGGTCTAATCCATAACTTTTGAGATTTAAATTTTTTTATACACAAATTTTAAAGTTTAGAATCCAAAATGAAATTAAAAAAGACGTGGTCTTCCTAATGATTGTGGAGATGCTTCTGGCCGTCCAGGGAATTTTTTGTTGACTTTTCTTTTTTAAAGTAAGTTTCTATACACTTGCATATGTAACAAGCTAGCAAATGATTTGGGAATAAATTATTTGATCTTGTTTAAAGAATTTGTAACTTGATTGTACTGAACTCGTCAACTAGCGATGTATTTTTCTCCTTGGTTATCTCAAATATGTTTTAGTAATAATTAATTTTTAATTTTTTCTCAAATTAAAATATAATAAATGTTAAAACATTAAAATATGTAAAAGTTGTAGGATGTATTGAAAAGGGTAGTGGTGCTACTACTAAAAGAAAATCCCACAACAACCCCGTTGAATTATAGATAATATAAGTTAGCTAAATATATTTTTAGGAAATTTAAAAATTTATTTTTCAATTTAACCATAAGAAGATGAATATTGGTCAAACCAACCAAACCAAACTTACTCGATCCAAATTTTTCCAGTTGTCCACCTACTTCAATATTAACATTTTGTAGTTGGTTCATAATTGTTTGAATGTGATATTAATTAACGTCTTCAAAAAGTTAATTATTCGATTTCTACCGTCACATTTGTTCTAATTGAAATTTTAAATAATTATTGATTCCGATTTTGTTGGGTTCAGGTGACACACTTCAAATGCGGCGGCGTTTCACTGGGCGTAGGAATGCAGCACCATTTAGCGGACGGCTTTGCCGGTCTCCACTTTGTGAATACCTGGTCCGACATGTCGCGTGGCCTCGACCTTAAGCTTCAGCCCTTCATCGACCGGACCCTACTCAGAGCGCGGGACCCACCTCAACCGGCATTCCGTCACGTCGAATACGAACCGGCTCCGCCCATGAAAACTCCGGTCCAGCCGAACTCGGAAGGAACCACCGTCTCTGTATTCAAATTCACCCGCGAGCAGCTGAATCTACTCAAAGCCAAATCCAAAGAAAACGGCAATACTATCAACTACAGTTCATATGAGATGCTTTCCGGCCACGTCTGGCGCTGCACGTGCAAGGCGCGTGACCTTCCCGAGGATCAGGAGACTAAGCTCTACATTGCCACCGACGGCCGTGCTCGGTTGCGCCCGCCGCTTCCCAACGGCTACTTCGGCAACGTTATCTTCACAACTACGCCGCTCGCCATCGCCGGTGAACTGATGTCGAACCCGACGTGGTTCGCTGCCGGAAAAATCCACGACGCCTTGGTTCGGATGGACAACGATTATTTGAGATCGGCTTTGGATTATCTCGAACTGCAGCCGGACTTATCGGCGTTGGTCCGTGGTGCTCATACTTTCCGTTGCCCCAATTTGGGAATCACGAGCTGGGTCCGGCTGCCTATCCACGACGCCGATTTTGGGTGGGGCCGGCCGATTTTTATGGGCCCCGGCGGAATCGCGTACGAGGGATTGTCGTTTATAATCCCGAGTGCGTCCGACGATGGCAGCTTGTCAGTGGCGATTTCGCTGCAGACTCCACATATGAAGGTGTTTGAGAAGCTGTTCTTCGATCTTTAAGTAGCTTGGCTGGCGGTGAGTGTAACAGGACACCGGTGGGTTTTTTCTTTTCCGGCAAGGCAGAGGGAGTTTGCCGGATGGTGTTTTTTTTTTTTTTTTTTTTTTGTTCT